CCGTCCAGCCCTGAATCCATCCCTCCATCTAGCCAGCCTTTATCCATCCCTCCCTCCGTCCAGCCCTGAATCCATCCCTCCATCTAGCCAGCCTTTATCCATCCCTCCCTCCGTCCAGCCCTGAATCCATCCCTCCATCCCTCCCTCTATCCCTCCATCCAACCCTGTATCCATCCCTCCACCCTTCCCTCCAGCCAGCCCTGAATCCATCCCTCATCCCTCCCTCCATCCTTCCCTCCAGCCAGCCCTCCATTCCACCCTCTGTTAATCCCTCCAGTCCAGCCCTGAATCCAGCCCTCCCTCTGTCCAGCCTCTATCCCTCCCTCCATCCCCAGCACACACCTTCCCTCCGTCCATCAGCCCCTTGGGGCAGAGCTGCACACCTGGGCAGGGAGCTGTCATGGCGAGGATGGGGGGGGGCTTGGGCAGCAGCCTGGCATCCTGGACATTGGGGGTTGAGTCTGACATGGTGTGGTGGGGGGCTGGCTCTTGAGGGAGAGGGAGGTGGGATGCCAGAGGTTGGGCACCGCCGGTGCAGAGGGAGCAGGGGGGCAGGCAGAGGCTGGAACGCCAGGGACTCAGGCTTCATGAGCAGCTTCTGCACCAGGGATAAAGGTGGGATTCAGACTCTGTGGACACAGCGGATTCAGGCCTCGTAGATGCAGTGGATTTGGGCACCACGGGAGCAGGGGGAATCGGGCACCATGGGAGCAGGGGGAATCGAGCACCGTGGGAGCAGGGGGAATTGAGCACCGTGGGAGCAGGGGGAATCGGGCACCATGGGAGCAGGGGGAATCAGGCACAATGGGCAGAGGGGAATCGAGCACCGTGGGAGCAGGGGGAATCGGGCACCGTGGGCATAGGAGAATCGAGCACAGTAGGAGCAGGGGGAATCGGGCACTGTGGGCAGAGGGGAATCGAGCACAGTAGGAGCAGGGGGAATCGGGCACCGTGGGCAGAGGGGAATCGAGCACCGTGGGAGCAGGGGGTATCGGGCACAGTAGGAGCAGGGGGAATCAAGCACCGTGGGAGCAGGGGGAATCGGGCACCGTTGGCATAGGGGAATCGAGCACAGTAGGAGCAGGGGAATCAAGCACCATGAGCAAAGGGGAATCGAGTACCACGGGAGCAGAGAGAGTCAGGCATAGTGGGTGCAGGGGAAGTGAGCAGAGGGGAATTGAGCACCATGGGCGCAGAGGTAAGTGGGCACTGTGGGCAGAGGGGAATGGGGCACTGTGGGTGGAGGATAATCAGGCACTGTGGGAGCAGGGGTAATTGGGCACCGTGGGTGCAGGGGAATTGGGCACTGTGGGCAGAGAGTAATTGGGCACCATGGGAGCAGGGCAAATCAGGCACCGTGGGAGCAGGGGAATCAAGCACTATGGGCAGAGGGGAATCAGGCACTGTGAGAGTAGAGGAATCGAGCACTGTGGGCGCCGGGGAATCAGACACATGGGAGCAGAGGGGAATCGAGCACTGTGGGTGCAGGGGAATCAGGCACCGTGAGCAGAGGGGAATCGGGCACCCTGGACGCAGGGGAATCGGGAACCATGGAAGCAGAGGGAGTCAGGCACTGTGGGTGCAGAGAAATCAGGCACCGTGGGCAGAGGGGAATCGGGCACTGTGTGCGCAGGGGTAATTGGGCACTGTGGGTGCAGAGAAATCAGGCACCGTGGGTGCAGAGAAATCAGGCACCGTGGGCAGAGGGGAAGCGGGCACTGTGGGCGCAGGGAGGATCTGGGCGCTGTGGGCGCAGGGGAATCGGGCACTGTGGGCGCAGGGAGGATCTGGGCGCTGTGGGCGCAGGGGAATCGGGCACTGTGGGAGCAGGGGTAATCGGGCACGGGGCGCAGGGAGGATCTGGGCGCTGTGGGATTCAGGCCCCCTGGTGCGGGTGGCCGGGCGGGGGGCTCACCGTGCCTAGGTGCCTCGGTGGGGGTGGCCATGCTGCAGCCGTGGGTCTCTCCCGTCGCAGGAGCGAATGCGGCAGAGTCCGAGAGGGAGGGAGCGGGCGGGCTGGAAGAAGCTTTTTTTTTTTTTTTCTTTTCTGCGCATGGAGGAGGGAGGCGGCCAATGGGAGTCAGACGCGGCTCGGCTCCTGGGGGGCGGGGGGAGGCTGCCTGGCTGTGGAGGGGGCAACGTCTCAAGCCGGCCCTGCCGTGCTCCCACCCCCCATCACCCACAACAAGCGCAACTCCCCTACAGGCTTTTCGCACA